ATCGTTTGGAAGCCTGATGCTCCCAAGAAACTTGGCTACGGTCAGCTTGTCGTACTCGCAATCGTGACGATCGCGTTCCAGCTTGTCTTGAATGGCCTTGACTTCGCTGGGCTTAAGGAAGGGCATGCGAGACTTGTGGACTTTGTCTGGGAAGTCGACAATTAAGAGACGGCCCAGGACGGCGAGGAACATGGTCATTGCGCCGTTGATGATGAAGATCCTGGATGGAAGTCAGTGACTGGTTCTGGTGATGTTCAGTGTGAAATATTGTCTTACCATCGCCAACCGAGCCACCCATTCTTACCGCTGAGCGTCATGCATCCGTACGCCAGAATCGAGCCAAAGCCGTTGGCCAAGATGTTGATGCTGTAGAAAGCCACAAGTCGTTTCTGGACTTCAAACCGCGTATACCAGCACGAGATGAGATATACACAGCCCGGAAAGAAACCCGCTTCAAACAGGCCCAGCAGCAGGCGACAAACGACGATATCCTGTACGGTCAGCCGTCAGCATAAAAGCAATCTATCCTACTTGCTTGAAAAAATATTACTTGATCACCCAGCCGATACATGAATGAAACGACAGACACAAGAAGAAACAACAATAAAAGAACAAACGCAAATCTCTTCTTTTTCCTCCCCGCTAGGCCGCGTGTCGGATATTTGAATCCACTATCAAGTAGGTGGTATGGTGGTACGGTAGTACAGTAGTACTCAAACCCACGGATAAAATAAACGTCCCTTTGCATCCAAACAAGAAACCGTAGTCATACCCAGTATCCCAAAAAACCTCGGCACTATCTTCCCAATACTCATTCCACACACCACCACCCCCTCTCTTTATACCCCCTTCCTCTTCCCCATCCCAAGCTACTATCCCTCCCCCTTCCCCTCCCCTCCACTGCCCAGTTCCACCCAAGCCTCGGCGTCGCTGCATCCGCGTAGACGATTGGCCGCCTCCGTCCCCCGCGTTCCTTGACATATGGTGTGGCTGGGGCTAAGTTAGGGATACGGGGGGTGTGATGTGTGATGTGTGATGTCGTGCAGAAGAGGGGTTGTATAGAGTACTCCTATGTGGGTTAGGGGATTTTTGGGCTGGGGAATCGTGGTGGTGGTGGTGGTGGTGGGGAGGTGGTGCGGGTGAGAAAGTTGGAATGAGGGTGAGTCGAGTCGTGGATGGCGAGTAGGTAGGTTAAAAAAGGTGCGTGGATGGAAGGGTTTTGCCATGTCTATGAAATGAGATTAAAATATATAGATAGGGGGAGATGGCGTTGTAATACCAAAATCTGCGTATTTTCATTGTGATTTCTGATATCGTATTCTGGGTGTTTTGGCTGGTTTTGTCATGTTGATCGGGTGTTGTTTTCTTGGCTTGGGTGTATTACTTTCCATCTGCTTTTACCCTAGTCTATATCCTGTAGCTATAGTGGTTTCTATAGGGTAGGTTTGTGTAGGGTTATACCAAGTTATATATTTAATGTTATTTAGTTCATCTTTAATGCAACGTAAAGAAAAGAAAAGGGATAAGAAAAACTAACAAAACAATTCCCGTCCTCCCTGTTTCACTAGAATATCTATATTATGCACAGATAGCCTAGGATATGCTATCGAGAGCTAGGGCCACTTCCACTGATGCTTATCGAACTAC